TTTTATAGACATTTGGTGTATTTTGATAGCATTTCTGGCCTGGTATATCATATATTTATAATTTTCGCATGTTTATGTATATATTGTGTGCCATATTTTGTTGGTTTATACACAAGGAAAATGGGAAAATACTTGATTCTTTAATCATTTATATATAGATGAAGGCGCGGAAGATATCGGCCTTCTTCAACAGGCCGTTCTTCCTACATCAGACACGACCGAAAGCCGTACATTTTCTTCCGGTGAGTGCGTTGTATGTTCTGAAATAGCTTGTATATTTAGATACATACCGTAACTTAAATGTCTGAGATAGTATATCATAGGTTGAATGTGCTATAATAATATATTATAGGTTGAATGTGCTATAAAAATCTGAAGTAGTTCAGTATGCTTTTACTATGCCATTTCAAAATTAATGTATATACATGTAGATGAAGAATTTGATTGTGTGGCTATGACTATGACAAGCACTCCAAAGAAGGAGCAACATTCTGGGAAGCATATCCTAACTCCAGAGTCCAAGCAACACAATGAACCTATTGCTAAGAGACATCAAAGTTCTGACAGCTGTACATCAGCAACAGGTTAGTTATGTATTTTTGTTTTCAATAAATGAGGATGTATAAAAATGTATAATCAGGATACCAGTAATCTGAAAGGTGCCTCCCCCCGTCTACATCTTTGCAAGCCTGTGTGCCAAACTGGGTCTTACATAATTTGCCTGCTGTAACAGTTCACAAGCATTGTGGGGAAATTATTATGCACCACTGTTTTAAAAGTTTTAGAGTATATCACCATCTGAAACAGATGGGGTATACTTCTTGATTTTTTTACCAATGGCTCATCATCAGGAGGCAGTCAGTATATAAGGATATAAATAGTCATTATATAAGGATATAAATAGTCATCCTTTTATTGTATTTGAAAATGACGTGTAAAAAACAATGAAAAGTTTATCTTCATTTTGATGACCAGAGAGCCTAGTATAGTTCCATATCATTTACTGGAACAAGCTTTGACCAAAAATGTTTTTGCATTGTGCATTACTCCTGATATTTAAAACTTAAAAGATGAATACTGGTACAAGTGTAAAAATAATTTGACCTTGTGTTGAAAGCATCAATATGATATAAAGTCAGATTAAAATTTTTGGGAAAAAAGTTGACAGGAACTAAAATTTCCAGCTAGAATAGGTAGTTATATGTTAGTAACCTAGTATTGTTTAACCTGTGAAACCTAATAGCCACCCTCACCCTTTGTTCCACCACTGTTGCTTCACCCGGTATTGAAAACATGGTACAGACAGTAACATAAGCTCTCCCTTTCAAAATTCTGGTTTTATGTTGTGTGTTACACCTTATATTTAGACAGGTGCAATGACAAACCCATTGCTCCATGAACGCCGAGAAATGTGTGTCTTATTGCAATATTTTTTTTCCTTTTAGATGAAGATTCTAATTTCCTGGGTCAGTCAAAGCAAAGCAGTTCATTTTATAAAAACAGAAGGGAAAGCTATGTAAAAATATTACTAGAGCATTTTGAAGAAAAGGAAGGATCAGATATAGAACAAAATGCCATTATGGAACTGCTAAATTTAAACAGTTTCCATAAAGTACAGGCTACCAATGCTGTGAAACAAGCATTCCCTAGGTCGTCAGTTTGCAGGAAAGGGTCTAGAAGTGAAAGGGTGACATATTATAAAAACATTGCTCACAGATCTTTACTTCAGTCTGGGGGAGAATCCATTCCAGCATTCATATGCACCTCAGATTTGTCGGCGTCAGATGCCACTGCATTGCCAGATATGAATGACAGTGCTGAAATACAAAATATTAAGAAATTAATTGCAGATACGTCAAGTGAACTTGACAGTATAAATAAGAAAATTGATGAACAAATATCTGGAGAAAAGATACAAAAGGATTTTGTAAAGACACTGCTTCACAAGCAACAAGCACTGCAAGCAAGGATCCAACAGTTGCATGAATGTTTAACCAGACTGTTGCAAAAAGAAGTTGGTCGTCTTGTGCAACAGGAATCACATTGCAAAACTCTTTGCGCTCGTGAAATAGAACGGCTAAATAAAGAATTGGAGACTTTTATAAAGTATTTGGATATTAATATGCAATCTGAGAGTTTGACAGAAGGAGATTTCAGTGGTATCTTCTCATCACTTGCTTCCAATGTCAGAGATAATTGCCCCCTTCTTTACAATATTCTTGATAACCTTTTGTTGCACAAATCTGGTGGAAGAGAAGTTTCAGAAATCCGAATTAAGAGTGCGGTACATTCTCTTGCAATTCTAATCAGCTTACGGAGTCAGAAAATCCAGAATGATTTCAAACTCATGTTTACTTGTCTCTGTATTTCATTTGGAGCTGGCTGCCGTTTCATTGGTATGCTTAACCATCTTGGGTTAACTGTCAGTTGGCGAAAAGCAATGGATTTTTTTGATAAAAGGAGTAAGAAACAAAAAGAAGAGGTTACTCAGCTTACACCCGCTGGTGTTCCTGTCATACTATTGATTGATAACATTAACATTTATCGAGGTAAAAGGAAGCACTTACGTCTGTTTAAATCATTGGGGCCGACAATGTGGAACTTTACAGCACAAGCAGTACTTATCCCTGACACTGATGGTATGGAAGATATACTTGAAGATCCAAAGGCATGTCTTTACCCCCAAAGCGCTACCACTGAAATGAAGGCAGATGATATCTTTTTGGAAAATGATGAAGAAAAGTATAAAATATTTACATCAGCTGTTGACAGATACTTGCTCGATATCATTGACTGCGCTGTCAAAATTCCCTATTCTCTAAAACAACTGAAGGAAATGAGTGAAGAGCAATTGAACAATAAATTAAGAGCTGGTATCTTCGAAACAAAATCTACATCAAAATATAATATTACTGTACCAAAAGAAGAACATCTATTAACCAGTGCGCACAATGTAAAAAGCAATGTACATATCCTGCCTTTATCGTTAGAAGATAATAGTACAATTCTTGGTACAATGAGTATTTTGGACAAGTTATCAGACCAGTTCAACTTGCCAAATGAGAAAGGAGATACACGATATGTACCATTTGATTCAGTTAATGGTAACTTTGATGTTCTTACCGCACGATCACATTTCGAACTATTACTTAGCCAGAGAATACATGCCACAAACGTCAAGAAGACTGTGAGTCAAATGCGAGGGAGAGAAAAGACCTTTGATGCAGTAACTGAACATGACATAGATGATGATGACCCTGAAAGTGCAATTGATGGTCTTGAAGATGATAATGATAGTTCTGTACCATATTGTACAGAGTCAACCACACTTGAAACAGAAAAACGGCGTTTTGAAGTGGAAGATAAGTCTTTTTGGGATGCATACACCACCCTATCACAAAAACATATGAATGCAACTGCAACAAACAGTGACGAGTCCTACATGATAGCAGTAAACAACGAAATTAACAGGACCACTGCCTTAGTTAAAGATCATTTAGAGCGGAGTCTATTACACGTTGCAGTTGAACGAAGCCACAATAACTTCGTAAAATTCTTAGTGGACCTGGGCCTTAATGTTAACGACAGAGAGGGGTGTGGCATGACTCCTTTAAACATTGCAGTTCTTCAAAAGAACAGTGCATTGTGCACATTTTTAGTCGAGTCTGGTGCACAGCATTCTGGCCCGTTGTTCACAAGTATCCCATCGCCACTTGTGATGGCCAAAGCCATGAACCTGGATGACATTGTACGTCTGTTTGAGGATGACAGCGCGCTTTCTGATGAGGAGAATTCCTTGATCCAAATGATGGATGGAGCATTTGCAAGAGGTTGTCAAATCCAAATCCAGGTCCAGAAATAGAGCTGAAATGCGTCAGGACTCATCCAGGTTTTATAACTCCGATAGTTGGAGATGTAGGGACTTGCAAGACAAACAATGCAGCTATGTTCCGGTCAGCATCTTATCGATGGGTAGGTCTTTGCCCAGGTGATTTACACAACAAGGGCTACTTCTGCGAGGCTCTATTCAAAGTGCACGGCTCATCTGGGTTTCACTGTATTTTAGTCGAGATAATGAAAAGAAAACAACTGACTAAAGAAGTTTTCAAGAAGAGAAAGTTCCAGGACAATAACTTGGCAAAGGTGAGAGAAGCAATCAGTGACGCATGCAGGGCTTATGGCATTGCCGCTGCTTTAGAATTTATTGGTAGCAACAAGTTTCCAAAGAGCAATCTAGGTGGAAATGAGAAAGTCGAAGAAGTCCTTTTGACCAAATTTAAAGAGTGGCTTATTTCATCTGGAGAAGCTGATGCAGCCTTCAAGCACAGAGCCACCGCGTTTCTTTTATATGGTCCTCTTCAACAGTTGTATGATGCTGCCACAGCTTTTTGCGATGGAATCGCACGCGAAGCAGTATATCAAGCCCAGGCACCCATATATGCACAACTTGGTTTTAGGAACTATTACACCGAAGTATTTCGCCATGTTATCAATTTCCTGTCCAAATGGCCTAAGGCAACTTGCGTTCTTTTACAGAGAAACTGCTGCATCAACCTTCTTGGTAAAAAGGGTCACGGTATTGAGTTGGATGCATATGTGGAGGCTGAGGTTGTACAACCTTTGAAAAACTATGTATCTGGACATACAACAGTAAATATGTGCGAGCGTCTTATGGCAAATCTGGACATGATGAAGTACTTGAGGAGATCTTACATGGATAAAGATGGCTCTGATGTACATCCAATATCAAGACATTCAGTGCAGTCATCAATGCCTGACCAATTAAAAGCTGCTTGGTTCTGCCTGAAGAAGCGTTTTTTTGAGAACAAAGGTCGTAATGATGTGGAATGCTATCCACTTGCCAATAACAGCTGTGCTTCTGGAAAGGTCTCAAAAAACCTCATATGCGTCCAGGGGAAAGGGAAACAGAAGATCAAAGAGAAATTCAAATCAAAGTTGTACGATTGTTTCCCTGATTTGAGGTATACAATTTTAAAAGATTAACCTTTCTGATATGTACATTTTAAATATAGTTCAGAAAAACACCCTACATTACCATTAAGTAAATCTGTAACATTTCCTAATGTCAAATAAGTTAACGAAACTCTTTCTTCCATTTCCCGCACGTTTTCCTTTAAATATCCTCTAAAAATCAACAGCTGTACAAATTGTGTTAAGACCGATGCAGTTTTAAAATTAATTTTACCTTTCCCATATTGTGGAACTCTGTCAAAACCAGAACTAATAATGGCCTTTGCTTTTGAGCCCATATATGTTAAAACAAGGTCAGTAACTTTAATTTTGGACCTGAGGGCAGTCAAGTTGGTCAAACAATGCATCATATTCATAGCTTCTTCAGTGTAATCCTTTGATTCATGAACAATCCCCTTCTGGCACACGTCACATAATGTACATGAATTGCCTTGATCTTCTTCAAAGTATTTGGCTATGTTTCTTGCTCGGCAGACTGCTGCATCCATACAAAAATGTGTCATTGCATTCAAGAGTGAAAGCTTGTTTTCTCTCACTTGATCTGATGCAATTTGTGATATGTTTTGAAGGTGAAACATCCTATCTCCAAACCTGAACATGAGAATGCAAGAGCAATTTCCTCCATCCCGACCTCCTCTACCTGACTGTTGGGCATAGCCTTCCAATGATGAAGGAAATGTAAGGTGTATTACAAACCTTACATTGCTCTTGTCTATCCCCATTCCAAATGCATTTGTGCAGCACATGACTTTTGCAGCACCTTCTAACCACAAGGATGCATTTCGCATTCGTTCTCCACTCTCTATGCCTGCATGATAGAATGTAGCAGAAATAGCTTGTTCTTTCAATACAAACGCCATTTCAACAGTATCAGCTTGAGTAGCACAGTAAACCAAACCACACTCATTAGCATGATTCCCTTCGATTATTTCAGCAATTTGCTGCTTTGCTTTGTTTTCTTTTTTCTCAATGACTGAATATATCAGGTTATCTCTTCGACTTGGCATTTTAACAGTTTGTGGATCTGTCATCTGAAGGGTAGCTTTAATGGTATTTAGGGTCTCGGTTGTTGCTGTGCCTGTAAGAGCTGCCAATGGGACATTGTATTGTCTTAAAACTCCCAGTTTTTGATATGCTGGCCTAAATTCTTTCCCCCAAGTGTCAATGCAATGAGCTTCATCAATTATAAAGAAGCTCAAATTCTTTTCATTATTGAGCTTTGCTAACGAACTCTGAAATTGTTCAGTCACAACTGCTTCTGGACTAACATATACAAAGTGGTATTGGCAATTTGGTTCTTTCAAGTTATGTAAAATATGTTGTCTTTCATTTTCACTAAGCAAAGTGTTAAAGTAGCATGTATTTACGCCATAACCTTGCAATCTTGTAACTTGGCCGTACATTAGCATGATGAGTGGTGAAACAACAATGGCTATACCAGGGGTCATAATACATGGCAAAACATAAGTTACAGTTTTACCACCTCCTGTTGGAATAATAATAAGTGTATCTTTTCCAGACAGTAGGTGTGAAATAGCTTCTTCCTGACCAGGCCGGAATTCTTTGTGCCCAAAAACAGTTTGAAGTACCTTCAGAGGTGAGGTATTCAGTGGGCAGATGGTAGGAGTTTCCGAATGGAAACAAGGCATACTTTGCATATTGCTTACAATTGGTGGTGGTATAAAAGCCTAAAAAAAAAATAGTTCATTTACTAAAAATTTTCTATTGCATCCGTCTATGAAATATCTTTCAATTCCTACAACCTCTTGCTAAGTAGCCTCCCTCCCTGGAATGTCAGAGTGGTTGGGTTTTTGTTAATTTTTCGCTTGAAACCTTTCAGCTAAATAAACAGCACTCAATTATATTTAGCCACCTTATTAGCCTCCTTCAACTACGGGAAGGTTAAAATTGAATTATTTTCTCACATAATATTTCACAATTCATATTGGGTAATATTCTGAACACTACAAACCAACTCATATACATAGGAGAAAAGCTTTAGGGCATCTAACTAAATTGACCAAAAACTAAGGTTAAAGAACCCTTTTGAAAGGGAATTAAATAGTTTGTTATTATTGTATTAATCAAAATGTCATTGACCTTAAAAGTGCTTATGTCGTGCCAGTGGCAAAAAATAAATTGCAATGCAATGTGGGACGCATGTGCAGTATACCTACAGTAATGTTTATTTGGATTCCAAACTGTGTGACATAAGCACATTTAAGGTCTATTGGAAATTATATTATACTTATTAAATTAACCCTTTAAGTGGCTATGCATCCTACTTTAGTATTTTACTCTGTTTAATGCCATACAACTTTACTCATCAGCAGCCAAATAATATAAATAGTAATAATACAAATGATATAAATGAATGGAACTGGATGATATATTAAACACAGTGCTATCTAGAAATGTAAACACTAATAATAATTGTTAATTATTGGTATTAAAATAAAAACATACCCTTTTTGGTGGTATAAAACATTCTGCATATATTTTTTCTCCTGCGTTCCACAATTTGAAACACTGGGCAGTCGCATCATTCAAATTTCCAGCCTATTTAACTGCAACACAACATGGGGAAGCTCCTAAACTCTTCAGAAAACCACGATGATGAAGTAGTAACCCATATAATTTCGCTGCTTCACGGCGACTTTTTGCTGCAAGTTTAATGCTTTCACAACCAGGAATTGTAGAACATGTTACAATATACTCTGTTGATACACCATCGCAATTCTACAAAATAAATACATCTCATTATATCTGGTATATTTTAATCTACATCATTTGATATCAGAAAATTTTGAAATAAGACCACTATGAGACGCTAACATTTACCTTTTTGAGTCGTAATTCTGACAGTTGATTCAACATTTTCAATGTTTCTTGGCCATGAAAATCATGGAAAAACATTTTGCAATCTCGGCGAACCTCATCGTCTACCACTGAGTTGCCATGTTTTATTTTAAAATGCTGATTCAAACCAGCGTCTTCTAAAAAGAACTTAACATCCCCTGTACTTGTAAAACACCTCGAACATACCACTTTGCCGCTAATTTTCGCCTCTTGAAATGGTCTATTTGTTAAAGATAAAATATGCTTTACCTCATTTGCATTTGCATTTTCGATTGCGTCCATCTTGAATTATTCATGCTTGAACCCAGGCACCCTCGGAAATTCGACGCCATATTGGAAACATTATTTAGCAGAGGCTTCCCAATTTTCGCTCTTCCCATCGCTCCCCGCGCGCCCATCCCTAGCCTGCGACCAGTCCGCTCCCCGCGCGCCCCATTGCTTTGGCCGGCCTAGCCCGCGACTAACACCAAAACAAAACCGCCTGCGAAGAACGCAAAAGCCAAAACAAAACCGCCTGCGAAAAACACAAAGCCTCTGCGGAGGAGAGTGCTTATGGGCTATTAGATTGAACATAGTTCTGATAAACTCTTGTGGTTGACAACATTTTGTTAGTTTGGAAATGTCTTTTTTCTTTATGCACTAAATTGTAACAAATGAATCCTTTTCAATAACTTGCAGTTTTTTTGTTCACTATGTTTTTTGGAATGTTCAAACGTTTCCATTTTCTGTGGATATATATGTAGGAATAGTTCAATCTACATAAATAAAATTATTTTATCTAGACTGTTTTTAATAAGCAATAAATGATGCCAAAACTTGTTTGTGTACCATGTTTTGAGAATGAGCTTTATTTCAAAATCTGAGCAAAATTAATTGCCCATCGTGGTTAGTGACAATGAACCACCCATTGTGGTTAGTGACAATGAACCACCCATTGTGGTGAGTGACAGTGAACCACCTGTTGTGGTAAATGACAATTATGAGCCATCCATTGTGGTTGCTGACTCAATAGTCACAATAAATGATGGGGAAGTAATTGGTGTAATTGAAGAACTGCAAGGGCTTGTTATCTATCATTCATGAGGACATTCCCTCTCATAAACTTCACATAGCAATTGCAAATACATTTGTTAAATATAAATATGTTCTTTGATAAAGCATATGGAGTGTTTTATCTGTTCGATTCTCATGCATACATTGTTTTGGAGTGTCTAATCCTAATGGTACATCAGTAAATATGTCTACCAAGGCTTTTACAATTGCACTGTTAAGTCTATATTGTTGAGCCAAGTCAGTTTCATTACACTGTTGTTTGCTTATATACTCCCTCGTATTTCCAGTTTGGAAAGTAAATGATGTACACTGGACATGTCCAGTGTACAGATACAAATTTTGGCACACACTTGGCATACAATTATACTTATGAATTATGATTGGCATACAACTAGAAATACATGCATGGAGCAACCCCTTGCTATTTCAAACCAAGTACACAATTTCCTGAGTTAACCTGACCTAAACTTATATTATGAAATGACACAAAACTCAAATCAGTCTTATTATATTTTACCGTGTATATTATATGTAGCTAATGTTTCCATCATTCAATACAAAAATAATCATAAAGCTAGTGTAAACATTGCCCGTTCAATTTTGCTGCATTATACCATGCCAGCAATTAAGTAACGGTTTAAAATCGAACTTTCAAACAATTAAAACAGTACAAAATCTTCACAGACCATGAAAAAACTTCAAATGTTATTTTATTCTGTAATTGCAGTCGACGCTGGCGGCTAAAAGTTTTATACTTTATAAATATAGTGTGTATTTTTGATACCAAAATTCAATTTACACTTTCAAAAACACTTTTTGGAGTTAAAGCAAAGGTGTAATAGCCTTTCACGAGTTTATGCGTTTGCATAAAAAGCTGAAGATTTAACAAATAAACGGCATACAAAGCTGAAAAGTATACAAATACGGCTCATTCTTATCGCGAAACAAATACGAAATAAACAAAGTAAACAGTACCATGACAGTTTGCTAACTGTCATGCTTCATATATCTTGTTTCTTCTCGTTTTACTTTCTTTGCACAAAGTTTATGAAACACTTTTACAAAAATGTTTACGAAATGACAGTTAATATAAATTGCTGACGTTCTCATTGAAATACAAACTTTCTGTCTTAGCCAATCAGAACGTTCGTTGATTACCAGACGTTACTCGCGCATGTGCATAACTTACAAAACCACCCAAGGTCGACCGTCCATGACAAAGAATTTGGACAACTTTGGATTTGCCTATGTTCTACAGGGTTCCGGGTGTAATTCCTAATCTCCGAGCGGAATTAGTACCCTCGCAGGCGCTTCGCGCCCGCTCGGGGATAATATATACCAAAATAACAGCGTACCACATGAAGTGTAAACAGTACCTCAATTCTTGTAATAACGTAATTATAGTTTCAAATCGTGTTGTATGGACACTATATACAGCATTCTAACACCTGATGAAGTTTGCAGAGAGGCTGCCAAATGGTAAGTTTGAATGGAGGTTTGCCTCACATCCCCGGTTCCCATACTGGGCGTTGAATATGAAGCAGAGGCATCAGCTGTTGTCACAAGCTAACATTTACTTGCGGCAACATCCAGCGGATGCAAACATGACTATGGAGGAGCTGAAAACAATGGTAAACTCTATGGGTGCAAATCAAATGGTAAATCGTTTGCAACGTTATGTTTCAAAAATTCAGGGTACAAATCAGTATTGGTATCAGAGACTGCAAGAACTGTTAGCCCTGATTGAACAAAAAGGTTGCCCTACCTTTTTCTTTACCTTTAGTGCAGCTGACAGCCATTGGCCAGACTTGCAAAGACTATTGCAAAGTAATGAGGGGGCATCAAGAACAAAAAGAGCACAAGCAGTGATAGACAATCCACACCTGACAGATTGGTTCTTCATGCAAAGGCTACAGAAGTTCATCAAACATTGGCTTCAAGGTGTCTTGGATGCTGAATGGTATAGGTTTGAATATCAGGCCAGAGGAAGTATACATGCTCATGGATGTGCTAAATTAAAGAATGATCCAGATATTCAATTATTGTGTAAACGTGCATGCCAAGCAGTGCTTCAGAAAGAGAAAGAAAATGAAATGTCCCCTGACGATTTTGAATTCTCTTGCCAGGAAATTGTCAGAGAGGGTGAAGATGCGGAGAGAAAGCTAATTAGGTAGGTTTGTATGTATATCTTAAGTATTATAAATGATTTACACTCACCACATAAATACGCAAATTGTGTCCACGGTATAAGCTGCATGTGCATTATTAGAAATTCTTTGTATGTGCTGTAGAAAACTTAAAAAACATTTTCCCCAGACTTTTAGTTTTAGCCTACTAATGCTACAATGTTGCAAATTTTGCAAAATACAGCTTCCACATACATTCACAAAAAAACAAAATTCCGTATATTTTCTTTAGAAACCGATATTTCCTAATGCTAAGGAATTGAGAGTGTAAACAGCATAGTATTTACAATTATGGAAAAATATATATAAATTAGGTGTTATAACCATGTTATTTTTATTTCTTTTAAAGTTACGTTGACTGGCTTGTGACCACAGTTAATGATGATCTTCCTGATGAGAACTGGACAGTACCAGATCCACACCCTTCTGCTGTGAAAGCCACATCAGTTGATAATCATGATGTTGATTATCACAGGTTAGTAAATTCAGTAGAGAGGCACACCAGATGCAGTCCAGCATATTGCCTGAAAAAGAAGAGGGTTGGCCTGCCTGCAGAGTGCAGATTTGGGTTCCCAAAACCATTACAAGAGGAGACTGCACTGATTTATGAGGTTCGAGGTAAGAAAAATAAATCTGTACACTCAGAGTTGCAAACCAAGAGAAATGATGAGAGGCTGAATTCACACAACAGGGTCATGCTTGAGAATTGGCGGGCCAATGTGGATTTACAGGTAATTGTGGATGAAAAGGCATGTGCAAGATACATGGCCAAGTATGCAGCGAAAGGGAACCACGATCAAAATCTGCTTCTGACATACTGAAGTTGTCTGTATCTTCATTACAGAATGATGACCAAGTGTCTTCTGCAATCAAGAAAGCAATGATCCAAGTTGCTGGTGATGGGGACATGGCTGCTCAGGAGACTGCCCATATGTGACTCAGTTTGCCTTTGGTAGGCTGTACGTATAGTTTTGTTACTGTTTCTTTAGAAAACAGTAGAAAAGTGATCCTTGATGCAGAAAATCCACAAGAGGAAGTACTTCAGAATTCTGTTCTTCAAGATTATGGAGAGCGGACAAAAGTGGAGAGTAGGTATAGGGGGTTATCTCAGTTGAATTTGATGCAGTATGCATCTCAGTTCACAAGAGTCAGAGGTGAGTTGACAAAACGAGTGAATCCTTATATTGTCAGGACATTTCCAAAGCTTACAGCCAATCCTGGCAGCCCTACCTTTGGAAAATACTGCAAGTATCAACTCATTAAGTTTAAACCATGGGAAGATAAGTCATCAAATGCATGGGACAATATGGAGGAAACTGATGATATGTTTATTAACACATATGCTTCATTTCTTCAGACAGATTTTGCTAGAGACAATGTATTTGGGTATTCTATTGAAACAGAGATGGTCCATGCTGCACAGACAGATGAAACATATGGAACTGATGAAAGTAGTGATGAAAGCGATGACGAACAGGATCAACCTAATGAGGAAGAGCAAATTGAGGATTGGATGTTGTTATGTAGACTCAACCAACATTATGAGGATGCAGGAGATCAAATGGCAAATAACGAGGCAGTGGATTGGTTCGAAGCAGCAAGAGGTGTGCCTGGGGATTTGTTGAGAGAATCTGCTGGGTGGATTTCTAAACAGAGAAAGGATGCAGAGGAGCAAGGTATGCAGTATCAAACAGGTGACCAACAAGTGGTGGTTGTCCCAGGGACCTTGAACGACAAACAGCGACTGGCATTTGACATTATCGCTGCATCCATGGCTAATGATGAATGTGAACCACTACATATGATTGTAAGTGGTACTGCTGGCACAGGTAAGACATATTTAATTAGTGCCCTTAAGCAAGTATTGCAACACCAATGTATTGTCACAGCAACCACCGGAATTGCTGCATTCAGTATTGGTGGTCAAACTTTGCATTCCGCAGCTCAACTTCCGATTCGGGAATACAGAGAATTACAGGGCGATTCCTTACAGAGATTGCAGCTCAGATTGGAAGGTAAGAGGTTTCTCATTATTGATGAAATGTCAATGATTGGACATAGATGCTTTCATGGCTTGACAACAGACTATGTGCAGGTACAGGAAAAGAGGATATCCCATTTGGTGGCATGTCGATTATCCTAATGGGGGATTTCGGCCAGTTACCTCCTGTAGGCGATAAACCAATGTACATTGCAGGTAATGGATCCGTAATCAGTGACCATGGTCACAGTATGTATTTAACATTTGATCATGTAGTCATTTTAGAGCAGGTCATGCGACAGATTGGTGAAGACCCAGAAGTAGTTGCATTCAGGGCGCTATTGATGAGAATGAGAGATGGACAAGTTACCGAGATGCACTGGAGACTATTAATACAGCACTCCAGACCTAACGTTTCAATGGATCAATTTAGTGATGCTATTCGGCTGTACTTTGATAAAAAAAAGTGTCGCTGAATATAATTATGAGAAGTTGCTAAGGATTAGACAACCATTGGTCAAAATTCAAGCAAGGCATTCTCGTCGGGGTGCAAGTGCGGCAACATCTGATGAAGCAGGTGGTTTGGAAGCTGTTCTCTTTTTGTCAACCAAAGCAGAAGTGATGATGACATGTAACCTTTGGGCAGAAGTTGGTCTTTGCAATGGCTTTTTTGGAACTATTGAGCAATTTTGGTTTGCAGAGAATATGGGTTCACCAAATCTACCGATTGCAGTACTGGTTCGTTTCATGCAGTACCGGCATATTCTGGCCCTGCATTTCTACAAGAATGTTCAAAGTGTTTACCTGTGCCTCCAAGACTGTTTGAGTGGATGGCGGATGGAAAGTATTTGTCAAGACAACAATTGCTCTTGCGGCTGAGGTATGCAATGACAATACACAAGTCCCAAGAACAGACACTAACCAAGGCTGTTGTTGATTTAGGTAAAGGGGAGAGAGTTGCTGGCTGCACATTTGTTGCAGCATCCAGGGTAAGATCAATTTATGATATTGTGTTTGAACCTATGACATTTGATCGTCTGAAAGTCATTGGTAGGAATAAAAATTTGAAGAAGCGACAAGAAGCAGAACAACGACTTCGTGTGCTTGCAGAAAAGACTGAGCAGAGGCATAGGTATTGAAAATCTTGTGGATGGATTGTACTCTAAGTTTGTGCTGCTATATATTGTTCAATGATACTGGGCACCAATGTGCTTTCGAGGAAAGACTTGCCTGTTACTAGACACAATTTTGGAAATGAATTTGCTAAAAAATTGTTACAGACATTTCCTCTATTATTGTGTTTTTGAGGAGGGCAACTTATCATGTAAACTTGTGTCATTGCCTGTTAGTAGACATAATCTCACGTATTATGTTTTTGAGGGTGGCTGTTGACATGTACAGATATTTACATTATTAAAGTTTGTTCGTTTTACTAAAAAACATTAGAACATCAATCAGGTAAGATACAATATAAACAATCAACCGTTTCACTGTTCAAAACTCTTTACTTTATAATTAGTGCGTGTAGGCGTTTACGCGATTTACCTGGTGACTGAAAAAGAGTACACGCAAAATCCACGTATAGCATAAATTTCAAAAAGCGCGCGAAAATATCGTCCTGTTTCTGTGTCACTGTTTGGACTGCGGTATGTCATATTCATAATAAAAAACTTTATAAAATATTGAACATTTTGAAGTTCGCCCAATAAATTATACTAGACTTCTCGCTTGTTGACATTTTAATTTACAAATTTGAGGAGAAACATTTTTGGAAGAAACTGCAAAAACTTTTTTAAAGCATTTATAAATTTGTCGATTTTTGCAACGCTAATGGCTGATGCGCTTTACCTTTAAGAAATAATGAAAATATTATATTTTTTCTTATATTTTAGATTAAAAGAAGTTTTGAAAAAAATCTAAAACATGTAAGTTTGTTTACATTACAATAGATATATTTTTTCAAAACTAATATTTGTATTTTATGATTTTTGAGCTTGCCTCGAGTACGCTATATGGTGCTGTTGTTTTTACATACTTTTTTTGCTCAATATATTTTTTATGTTGATGGCATATTTATATATACTGTAAAGATCTAAAGGGGACGAAGAAGTAAGATGCATAATTATTTCAAGAAAGCACTTTTTTCATGATGTTGGTAGTGCAATTATTGTATTATTATGTACATCTACTTTACCAACTATTTTAGTGGAGAATAATGAGGATGAACTCGTACTTGATATGTATTTTGGCACATATTTATATATCTTTCACTCTGAATGTACAAATTAGCAACTGATTAAAATGTCGTTGATCATTTCCAATGTTCAAAAATCTAATTTAACAATTATTTGTTGGATTTTAGACATTGATATTGATAATGATGATGGTAAATATGATTAAAAAAACTATTTGAAATATTATTTTTGTCACAGTTAGTTAATTTGTATGTCTTTTCACATAGCACTAAAAGGATAACACATGCAAATTTTCTTTCACTATAGAAATACTTGAAGCAGTCCCCGACCTGGCCGGCCAGGGGCCAGATGAGCAACCCAGTAAGTTTCATGATTGATGTGACTTATTGATGCATACTTTCCCCTGCACAACTGAAATACTTTCATTTAATCTTGTGAATCCTCCACCTCTAGAAAGGCCTGGTATGCGCTTATTGAATATGCACAAAAATGATATGTTCTTTGAAATTTTGTATATACTGCCGATATTGTTTGACATTTATAAATGTATAGTGAAGCAATTGCATGATGATATATATTGAAATTAATGAAATAACTTATATTTTCAATTCTCAAGCCTTGCAAGTTAATGCAAATTTTGATGGTAAATATCAGCTACTTTGTTCAATATTATTTAGTTTATGTATTAATTAGTGATGATGATGCATGGTCAAGTTTTTTGTCAACAATTTAAAACTCTAAAATTAAAAAGGTTGCCTCCTATCATTACATGGATTTATGCAATATGTCAACCAAATTTGTTTTATTTTTTTATTTTAGATAATGACCCACGCCCTGGGCGATTTCGGGGGGCAGGCAGAGGTACTGTATGATTCATTATATCCACAACAATTGTTTCCAGTGTTTGTCATTGGATGCTACTCAAAAAATATCGCATTATGAGGATGCTCAATATGACATTTTGTCTTTTTAGTGTTACATGGACAAGTTAGAGGTTAGTAAAGTTCAATTGACAATGGTCATGCACCTCAAGAAAGGCCTGGTATGCTGATTGAATATGCACTAAAATGATATGTTCTTTGAAATGTTGTATATACTGCCTATATTGTTTACATTTTATGATTAGAAAGGTATAGTAGAGCAATTGCATCTTGATATATATTGAAATGAACTAACTTATATTTTCAATTCTCAAGCCTTGCAAGCTAATGCAAACCTTGACAGTATATATCAGCTACTTTGTTCTATATTACTAATTTTATGTATTAAGTGATGATGATGCATGTTCAAGTTTTTCGTCATCAATTTAAACTCTAAAATTAAAAAGGTTGCCTCCTATCATTACATGGATTTATGCAATATGTGAACCAAGTTTGTTTTATTTATTTATTTTAGATAATGACCCACGCCCTGGGCGGTTTGGGGGAGGAGGCAGAGGTACTGTATGATTCATTATATCCACAACAATTGTTTCCGGTTTTTGCCATTGGATGCTACTCAACAAATATTGCATTGTCAGGATGCTCAATATGACATTTTGTCTTTTTAGTGTTACATGGACAAGTGAGAGGTTAGTAAAGTTTAATTGATAATGGTCATGCAGTTAACTCAAGATTTTTGGTAGCCTGCAAACCAATTATTTCTTGATATCATTTCTTGATATTAGGGCGGTGTTACAAATGTGGCCTGCGTGGCCACAGGGCAGCCAC